GTCCCGTTGTGTAAAGATATACTTCAGACTTTTATAGTCTGAAAACACCTCAAACTGTTCACCATACAGGTAGTGGCGCCAAGCCTTCAAGGCAAAGATAATAGCCGCCAAATCCATGTCGTGCGTAGGGTAATTCTGCTCGTGATTCTTTAACTGCCGAGAACCATAAGCAACCACCCTTTCGGACTGCATCAAAACGCATCCAAGTCCGTCCTTCGAGGCATCACAATAAACTATGTTCCTCTGTCCTCTTTTCGAAACTATCAGAATAGGAGCTGACGTAAGCCTCCTCTTCAACTCCTGGAATGCCTTCTCACAAGCATCATTCCACTCAAACTTGACCTCCTTCTTCCGGGTCAACTTGGTCATAGGAGCAGCTAATTGAGAGAAGTCCTCAATGAACCTCCTATAGTACCCCGCCGATCCCAAGAAACTGCGTATCTCGAAGACTAACTTCAGTCTCCCCCAATTCATAACTACCTCCACCTTTTTCGGGTCCACGGATACACCCGAAGTCGATACTACATGGCCCAAAAATTTCACCTTAGTAAGCTAAAATTCACATTTGTTGAACTTAGCGTACAACTGATGATCTCTCAACGTCTGGAGAACAACCCTCAACTAACCCTCATGCTCCTCCTCATACTTTGAGTAGATCAAGATGTCGTCAACAAAGACCACAACGAACTGATCAAAGTAGGGTTTTAACACCTTATGCATGAGATCCATGAATGTCGCTAGAGCATTCGTCAATCCGAAAGGCATGACTGTAAACTCAAAATGCCCATACCGCATCCGAAACGCCATCTTAGGGATATCAGCCTCCCTAACCCTCAACTGATGGTAACCGGTGCAGAGATCTATCTTTGAGTAGACCCGTGCTCCTCTCAGCTAATCAAACAAGTCATCAATCCTCGGCAAGGGATATCTATTCTTGATAGTAACCCTATTCAACTGCCGATAGTCTATGCATAGTCAAAGGGTTTTGTCCTTTTTCTTGGCAAACAACACCAGAGTGCCCCAAGGTGAAGTGTTCGGTCTAATAAAACCCTTGTTCAATCATTCTTGCAACTGGACCTTGAGTTCCTGCAACTCGGTTGGTGTCATCCTATGTGGAGTCATAGAAATAGGCGACGTACCGGGATGTAACTCAATGTTGAAGTCCACATCCCTATGGGGAGGTAATCCCGGTAGTTCATCCAAAAAGATGTCCTCAAACTCACGCACAACCCGAGGTAGAACCAACTCCTGCCTCACCTTGTCCTCCAAGGTAAGGCTTGCAAGCCAACCCATTAATTGTCCGAGCCATCTTGAGTCATACGCGATTTGGGGTAAAGCATTATGATTTTTCCCTTGAAACTTGAAACAAACACCATTAGGGGTGTAAGCAGTGACCCTCTTCCTATCACAATCAATGACGACTCGATGTGCCGTCAACCAATCCATCCCGAGGATCACATTAAACTCCAACATGTCCATGACCCTAAGGTCCATAGTGAGTAGAATTCCCAAGATCTCTAACTCACAACCCCGACATATCTGGTCCACCCTCACCATAGCTCCTAGGGGAGAACTCATATGCATTGACTTTTCCAAGGTCTCAACCTCCAAGCCCAAGTCTTTCACACATGATGCAGAAATAAAAGAATGCGATGCACCAAAATCAAATAATACTATAGCCCATAAGCGAGAAAGTAGGAATGTACCCTGTATCACCGACGAATCTACTGGCTCAGTCTATGGCACCATGGCGTAGACACGCCCCTGGGTTCCTAAAGTACCAGCTTGTAAGCCTTGTCCTTGACCTCGACCCATGTCCTGGCCTAGTTGGCCTGCTTGCGGAGTCCCTGCATGTGAAGTAGTAGGAGCCTGTGTAGCACCCTGAAACTGGTAATGACTTCCCTGGCCCATGGTGGGGTAGGGAGGAATGTAGGGTGTCTGTGGTTGTCCCACCGATGACTGGGACTGAGATGTCCCATAACTCTGGGTTCCTTGCCTCTGTGGGCAATCCCTCTTCATATGACCCAACTGGTGGCAGCGGAAACATGCTCGTGAGCCTGCCTGGCTGGAAGCCCTGAAGTGTCTCCCACCTTGGGAGGATAGACCCTAGCCTTGGCCTTGATGACCACGGCTCTATCCTTGAATTCCTTGTGGAGTAGAAGTCCTCTGCTTCTTCCCTGAGCTAGAAGAAGAGGATTGGCCCTCCTTCTTCTTGTCCTTGGCACCTAACTCTCGGATGCTCCTTGCGTCCTCAATCTCTCTCTCAATAGTCATAGCAGTAGTGACCATCAAGTCCAACTCTTGCAGAAAAAGACCCACAATTTTACCTCGGATAGACAACTTCAAGCCATCCTCAAACTTCCTCACCTTGGCCATGTCTATGGCCACATAATCATCGGCGAAACGTGCTAATTCCGTGAATTTAGCCACGTGTTCCATCACCGTCATGGTTCCTTGTTTCAAGTCTAAAAACTCTCGGGCCTTTGCATGTCTAGCAGCCGCCAGAAAGTACTTTCCCATGAAGAGTTCCTTGAACTCTACCCAAGTTATAGCCTCCAAGTTCTTGGAGTCCTTCAACCAATCCCACCACAATTGGGATTCCCCCTCTAGCTGAAACGTAGCTAGGGTTATCTTGGTGGCATCGGAGGTGATCTCTATAGCTCTCAACACCTTTTCGACTTGCCAAAACCAATTGTTAGCTACCATAGGATCTACCCCTCCTATAAAGACCAGAGGATTGTGTGCCTTGAACTTCTAGAGGTTACTTGAACCTCCTTGTCCTCCACTTGCACCAGTCTGTGCAATAGTAGCGGCTGTAGCACTAGCTTGTGCAATGGTAGCACCAATAGCCTCCACAAAGGCTTGTAGGTCAAAAGTTGGTGGTGGTTGGTTGTTCCATCCACCCCGACGTCCCCTCCCTCTAGTTGCCTTCTACATACATGCCAGATAGCAATAGAGCATTGATTTAGCAATCAAGCTTCTTTTTTTCCCTTCTTACCTTAACCGAAATTTCTGAAGTGTGAGTGAAGAGTCTTGTTTATTTTTCTTTGTTTTCTTCTCCTTTTCTTTCTTCTTTCCTTTGTTTTTTTTAAGCCAAGACTCACAAGACGAGACTCTTCCCTTCTCACTTTTTTTTTTCTCAAGTATCCTAGTCTTCTACTTTATGCACTAGCCACCAATCTCCCTCTCCCTCTTAATCCCATCCATTCATTTCCCCTTAGTGGAACTTCCATCATTATGCATGTAGATAAATTTATTCCATGTCTCCCTTAGTGGAGAATTCCACACACACACACATATATATATATAACCAAAGTATTTATGACCCATTAAATTTATATTGCTAGCCTTTAATCTACTTCTTACATATCCTAACACATATTTTTGTAAACATTAAGCGAATATGATATGCTTGCCACTCATTTAATTTCACATGCACTAATATACATAACAATAATAAAATCATATTATATGTAAACATACTTATTTAATTTTTCACACTTAAACAAAACAATTCCCCTATGGTCATTAAATCTCACTAATCCTCATACATTATTCATAAGTTCTTTCTAAATATTAAAATATTCATCGTATGGGTTCAATTCTCATATCAATATTCTTAATTAAATAATAGTTATCAACCATGCGCATGCATATCACATATGAATATGCTTATGACAAATATTATGTTCGTCAAAGCTTACAATGGCCTTGTTCCTTAAGATACATGAATGTGTACTAAACCATTTTCTGTTGGCGACTCATACTGTTACATTTTTCTCATTTGTCCAGATTCCAAGAGTCCTATACCTTTAACCGTCCTGTCAATTGCGGACTCTTACAGACTCCCTTGTGACCGTCAGATCCCTTCCACGTGTCATATTTTGATCTTACTAATTTTTGGATGTAAACACTAATACAATAAAAACTAATTCACCAAATATTATAGAAATAGGTTTGATCACACCTTGGTCAGGTGTAGATGTTTACGAAATAATTTGAACCCAAATTGTGAAACTTTGTCGGCACCGGACTGTGAGCAGTGAGCTAAATGCGTCTTCCCCGCCGTATTGGATTTGGACTTTGTGTAGAAGACGAGGAAAAAAATTCGCTGTTGTGAAAGACGAAGTGAAAAATTCTGAACTGGAGGGGTCTCTTTTGTGGGTGTTTTGCTCAAATGGTGCCATTCGATATGGGGGGGCTGTTTTGTGGAGCCATAACACAAAATGTTGCCGATCCAATTTACAGCACACCATGCTCCCCATGCTAAGTGGTAATATTTTATTTAGGATGAACCGGATTCATTACAAACCATCCAGTTCAGCTGAATTTTCCAAAAATTAGCCGGTTGAGAAAAGTTATTAACGGGCTGATACAATCGATTGTATCAGCCCGTTAATAACTTGTCAGGCTGATCCGGGTTTAATGACCCTGCCTAAAGTACCTACATAGATGTAAGCAAGGGCAACACGTACCAGCTAATCACGTTCTTCAGTAGCTGCACCGCACCACTGTCTTGAGCCAACTTATGGACGCTAGTAGGAATGCCCAAGTTAAAGCCAATCGAATCAATCGATAGATAGATAACCACCCCGAATCAGCAGTTCTCACAACAAAATAAGTGGATGATACCTATGCCTCCATGAAAGTAATTACTAATAAAGAGATTTGAGGGCATAAACCAATGGTAAAAGCACATCCCATGGAAAAAATATAATCAAGAAAAGGGCGAAATCAGGAAACAATGTAGAATGTCAGAGGCCAAACAATTGACACCGCTGGTTTTATGTAGGTCATAGAACTAGAAACTGGCAATACAAGTATTTCTCATGGTCCCAGTGGAGCAGGAGATTTTCAGAATAAAATAACAATTTTCCCACCTAAAGTTCCATTGAAAATTTATCAAGAGATGCAGATGCTGATCCTTCCATGATTGTGCTGCCTAATCTTTAAGCATTTAAGTCAAAAAGACCATAATGAACATAGTTTAAACATTACTTCTCACTTGGTGTTAGATTTTACAGGTCAGAAAATAAATATTATAAAAGAGAATCAAACAAGCATAACTTGCTATTAAATTGATAAGCAATGACTAGAATTCCATCATTAGAAGCTGCTATAGAGAAAAACCTAAACTTGTTTAATGCTAGGCTTCCCACCACTAATTTTCTTTTATGATCTGGTGCAGCAACCATCTTAACAAGAAAGTGAAACTAACAAATGCGAGAAATCTAAAACTTGAATAAATTTTTGTGAACCTTCGACACAACTCGACATGTCAATGAAATTCTACTGGTAGTTCTGTGCACACTATCTGCTGTCCTCTTCTCTTCAGTCACTTTTTCTGAAGGTGGTGGTGACTGATTTACTCTAAGAAATTTCAAAGTTTCAGCAACATTGACTGCCTGAAATAGAATATGAAAAGATATCATAGATAACAGGCAGTGCAGTTCCCTAAGAAAGCTTTTTTACAAGCCCTCAGGATGTGTTTAAGGTAGATTTGTTTAATTCTCATTATTATTTTTTTATTACTTGTCAGGAAAATTCATACATTGTTTTCCAACAGCTCATCACATTAGGTCACTCATCTTACCCCATTGAAGTGTTGCACCTCACAATCTTTTATTCCATGCAAGTAGTCTGAAAAAAGAAATAAGATGTCAATGTTTTAGGCATGCCAAGAGAAAGATAAACTCTTTGCAAGCAAAAGAAATTGAGATCCACCTGAGTATGCCTTATCTTTGAATATCAGTAAACTGCAGGGCATCAATACAACAGAAAAAGGATCATAACTATCCAACAATTTTTCACTTTCATTCTCCAAAGCTCTAGTAGAAATTGTATCTTCAACATTGTTTCTCACTGTGTTTACAGAGTTTGTCAAACTTGGATGGGGAGTGAAGTCCATAACAACACGTGATCCAAGCGACAAAATTGCCACTACTGGAAAGTAAGCTGGTCCATCCTGGTGTGGCTGTATTACAGACAACTTATCATTACAACTAACACGAGACCAATTATAAATACGCATTTTGAAACAACTTTTGACTGAATGGGGCAATGCAAAGGAAAGGAAAGAATGTAAAAAGAAAATGCAAAAATTGATTTGGAGAGAATGCTATTGTTCAGCCTTTTCGTTCCTTTAACCTTTGCCTCCTGAGATTTAAACTAAAACTTAGCGCTAATTGGAAATGTAGAGCATTAAGATTCTCAAAGGACAAACCAAATAAATTGGCCATCTCTCGACCCTCAAGTCACTTGTGTCACTCTGCCATCCACTCATTCCCTATGAAACTTTCATCTTTATAACTAAGCCTCACCCAATCATAGTAAATCTGGTGATTATTCAGGCATAGAGATTGAGGCTCAACTATGGCAACAAACATAAGTTAAGTTACAATGAGGATTATTCATGCAGTTGGGGTTGATTTTTCTTATATATAGAGAGAGAGGAGAGGGAGAGTACACACGAATAGAAACAAACACAATAAGAGAGAAAATAGAACAGAGGGCTACATAGGGATAGCAGGAGAAGAAGAAAATGAATTCATAAACCAAACTAGTAGAGTGAACAAACCATTATGCCTTGGTTAGGAAGGTATTCATTGATGAGTACATGATTAATTGCTGAAGGAAACAACCTTGATTCCTCGTACATTCTCTGAGTAATTCTTGTAAGCCAAGGAGGCACTGCATGAGAGAGATTATTTAGATGCGACTTTTCTTCAGTTTCCATATATTATATAAAAAAATACTCAACAAGAACTTCATGCAACCACCTGAACACAACTCATTATAATTTATTTGGGGGCAATGGAGGATTCTAAAATGGATAGAAGAAAGAACGGTCAGCCTAACTTCGCCATGATTTGTGACCATCAATTGGCTCCACATATTTCTTTGAGCGAAATATACTAATAGTATCTCAAGCATGTGCTCTGTCCCACTTTGGTGCCCATTCTTTCAATTTTGTCCCTTTGCTCCCTATAGTTTTCATTTGGCATTTAAATGGTCCAATGTAAAATGGCAGTTTAAATTGGATAGTGGAATTGTTCACATGTAATTCATGGGATGAATGCTCAGGAATGGTCCAATGTAAAACAGTTGAAATTTGCAATTGGTGACATATTCCCATTTTGGTTTCTTAAACACAAGCCACACTCGTCTTCCATCTTCTCACCATCTCCTCCACCATTTGCTTCTGCAAGTCAGTGAGACCCTTCAGATTCCATACAAAAGTCTTATCTTCAATTGGACAATATTTGTATCTCTCCCTCCCTCAACAAACCCGGGCCCTCATTCTTCCTATTATGAAAATTCACCCACCATTCCCACATTGGTACAAGTGTGAGCCAACAATGGATAACCTTTTCTTCCCCAACTCCCTAAACCTTTATTCTCATCCTGCGAATTTGAGGTCATTAGAGCAATTATGCAAATTGACACAAGGGATATGTCCTATTTCTCATCTGTTTTCCAACTCATTACAGATTGCACTCATCATTATGTGACATAATTAAGGTTAATACCATACCTATAAAATGCAAGATATTCCTCATCCCCTCTAAAAATGTATTTTTATCATCAAGCTACAGCTGGTGGGCCCATGGTTACCACCATTGTTGTTAGTATCGTACGATACGCGATACGTATCGTACGATACGTTACGATACAGCCCTAAAACGATACGGATCGTAGTTATGTATCGTTTTTGCGTTGTATCGTCCGATACACGATACGTTTTTACGATACGATACGTATCGGTACGATACGCACGATACGTGCAATTTTTTTTTTTTTTTTTTTTTTTTTTTTTTTTTTTTAAAACGACGTCTTTTTGTGCTCTGATTTTTTTTTTAAAAAAAACGACAAGTGAAGACTTGTTGGCATCCGATCACAATGATGATGATGATGATGCATTTTCAATTGAAATTGAAGATTGAGTTCAAAATAGATGTTAGAAATTTGGATTAGAAGTGTCTTTGGTGTTTAAAGTTTGAATTAGTGAACTATGGTTGTGAACTTTGCATTATAATAGTAGTGGATTATGTTGATAACTTGAATAATTGGTGGAGTATTAATGAAATGCTATATTTTTTATGAGTGTATGACTTTTTTTCAAAGGTATATATATTTTTTTATTATTTATTTAAAATTGCATCGTATCTTACGATACACGATACGATACACGATACGATACAATATTTGTATCTTACGATACGCCTTCCGATACACGATTTGATAACTATGGTTACCACAATTCACTAAATCTTTAATGACCCACGATCTCAGTACAACGATCCCAAACGAAGTGGGTTCGTGATCCGGATCACTAAAATGGACGACCCCAAATTGTAATACTAACCCTAACTCAATTCGCTTCGGAACATGTAGTACAAATATAAAATACATATTAATTGATTACATGTATATAGATTTATAATTATATTTTATTTTAGATAAATGAAAATCAAGCATAATTATAAATAAATGATACCTAACTTGGTGTTTATAAATATTTTGTAATATATAATGTTGTACAAGAGTGAAAACAATCTACATAAGAGTTTCAAAATAAATTACGACCCAAAATATCGTACCAACTAAACCTACCCCCATTGTACCGCGTACCTAGGAAAGTGTCGTATCATGTACCCGTACCCGTACCACGTACCAAAGCGACCCACGATCCAGGTAACATTGGGTGGGTCACCAGTACTTTCCAATGTTGTAGGGGTTAGTTCTAAGAGTCGCGTCAGCCATTAGTGGTGTAGAACTCTCCTTTTTCACTGCTAGAACTCTGCTTCATAGATACTATATGACTCAGCTCACCCACCTCCCAAATGCTACATACACAAAAAAGTGTGTTGGGGCAATCCTAGCTTCGCTAAGAAGCCTTCGATTCACCAATGCTGATAAATGAAAGGCAAAATTATATTGATGTAGATTAGGAGAAGAAATGGAGATAAGGAAAAAAGAAATATGGATGAGAAGAGAAGGATTTGGGAACATAAAGATCGCAATTTTATTCAATACTTCAAATCTAATACAATCTATACATTCATTCCCTTTTTATAATGACAAACAATATCTAGTCTAAGAATCCTAATATGACTATTATTCCTACCATCTGTCAACTAAGAATTAAAAGGGTCTCAACCTTTTTCCCTAGGGCAGCTTGGGCTTTAGAATACTCAAGGATGGCATCATAGTGACCAACAATTCACTCAGCCAATTATGTGAGAAGTGTAGGAGGACTAAAAACCAATTGTTTGAAGTCACCACTCAACTTTCCTACTTAACTAAAGATTCTTGAAAACCGTTCAATGGAAGAAAATAGGGACAAGTCCTCGGTGTCACATATTTCGGACACACACACAATGAGAATCACATTTTTTTTCCATTAGACCCTCATGATTTCCATCCTTTAGAATCTTCTTTCAATTGCTTGATCATTGATACTACTGAACAGAGTACTTTTTATCGTATCATGTCTCTACCACATTGAACCCATAAGTTGAATCATCATCAGTCATTCAAATTGAGGTTACAAGATGTTGGAACTATCAACAACTTAATTTCAATTTGGATCTTGGGTCATGCAAATGAACTTTTAGCTCCAATACCATTTTGATGTAGATTGGGAGAAGAAATGGAGATGAGGAGAGAAGAAATATGGATGAGAAGAGAAGGATATGGGAACGAAAAGATCACAATTTTATGCAATACTCCAAATCCAATATAATATGTACATCCATCCCCTTTTTATAAAGACAACTAAATAGCTAGTCTAACAGTGTCGTAATATGACTCAATTATTCCTACCATCTACCAACTAATAATGTTAAATTTTAAACAGATCTCAGGATAATGCCTAAAGATATCTCATCAAAATCTACGTTTATGTCTATTGTAATGAAAGATAATTAAATTCTCATCATATAGCCAACTAGACTAGGTCGGATCCAAATCCTAAAGAGAGAAGCAAAAGGAGGAGAAGGAGAAACACCACCTACTCCAAGACTTCCAAAAGATTAGAAAATTATAGCTGATGATTTTTTTTTTTTTTTGGGGGGGGGGGAGAATTCAGCAACATTACACATCGTTGGAACTTCAACAATTGGGGCACGACCCTTTTCAAGCCTACTGATAACAAGTGCACAACACTTTTCCTTGTAATTCAAATCCACTGAGCTTTTGTTGATATAAAAATACAATCCTATCCCTTTGCAAGTTAGTACTTACGACATCACACTATCCCATTCTCAATTGTTTTAGCAATTGAATGGAGTTGCAACTCCATCTTTACCGTTCAAATTGCCATTACCTGTCATGAGCATCATTATATACAACATCTCAAATAAGTTTCATCCCCAAATGAACTAAGAATGCATATGTCTTAAGCTAAAATGTAAACTTGAGTAGGAAGAAAAGAATAAAAAAGATTGAAAGAAATAATGTGTGTCCAGTTGTGCTGCCCTACACTTTCAAATTTCTAGTGAAGAAATAATTAGGATAAATATCAATATTAACCTATACTCATTAAATATAACTAATAAAAAATATAAGAACTTCTAACACTCCTCCACAAGCTGGACTATAAAGATAAAAAAATGTCGAACTTAAAACATAAATCACTGAAGGCAGCCCTCACTGATGGCTTGGTAAGAATTTTGCCCAGCTGATCACTAGACTTAAAATATGGAGTGATAATCTCCTTATGTATCAAGAGATGTCGAATGAAATGACAATCCACCTCAATATGTTTAGTCCGATCAAGAAATACCGAGTTACTTGCAATAAAAATCGTTGCTTGGCTGTCACAGTGCATTTTCATGAAAGAAGACACATTAATTCACATATCACGAAGTAAAGAGCAAACCCATAATACCTCACATACAATATAAGTCATAGCTCGATATTCAGGCTCAACACTAGAATGTGTAATCACATTTTGCTTTTTATTACGTCAAATAACAAGAGCTCCCCCTGACTAGTAGAGATTAAATTCAGGGAAAGATCATATCCTGACATAGAAAAGAAGGAAAAAGATTCAAAAAAGATAACATCAGCACAAAATGTATGGATAAATAATTGTATATATTCAAGAGCATTGTCAGAATGGAGTACATTAATACACTCACCAAACTGTAACAGAATCTCATTATAGAAAGTGATAAAAACTTTAGGCAACCCAAAACGATCCTTCATAAGGAAAAATCAAATCATACGAGAACAATCATCAACAAAGATTACAAAATAATGAAATCTAAAAATATTTTTTTGTTCTTGCAAGACCCAAATGTCAAAGTGAACAATATCAAAAGGACTAGACTGACGACTTGTACTACTAGTAGGAAAAAAATATGGTGATGCTTACCTAATTGGCAAGCTCCACACTTTAATACAAAATAAGGATTCAAACTACGAATGACTTGACGAAGTTTTTTTAGAAAAGGATAACCAAATCGAAAATACACTAGAGTGGCGACATGGTAGCATTCAAGACAAGAACTATTGTGCTGGAATCCAAATAGTAAAGACCATTCTACTTATGCCCTCGAACCAATCATCTTCTTCGTCGAGAAGTCCTGAAAGACACAAAAAGATGGTGAAAAAGTCACTGAATAGTGTAAAGACTTTGTTAACTGACTCACAGATAACAAGTTAAAAAGGAAAATGAGGAACAAATAAACTAGAAGTTAAAGACATGGATTTAGGGATAGAGATCACCAA